CCCGCTTTTCAAGATGCCTTCGTTTCTGAAAGGGATTTTTAAAAACAGAAAACATATTTTAAAGTACCTTAACGTATTTGAAAAGCTAGACTTGTTTATTGCTTAAAAATATGGTTCTCTATGGATAAAATAAATACTGCTGAGATCTGTAGTCACGTGAAAATATTTCGATTTTACAAGTGACAAGTCCGGTGGGATTTCAAAAGGTGTATTTTAGTGTTCTTTTTGTGAATGTTGATTTAACATGTTCATTCGACCTCCAGACTGATCAAAGCAGGTAAAAGTTTCACTCCTGGAGCTCTCTGTGATGCTGATCACCGCTAAAACTCCATAGAGAGCACTAGAAGTGTGTTATACAATTCCAGTACACAGGCATCCGTTCTGTTTCACCTGCCAAAATGTGTTTGGAGGGTCTCTATCCTCTCTTTCTCACGCTATATGCATGTGTTGAGTGTGTGAAGTGACACCATATCCACAGATTGAGGTGTTGACCTGCTAACACTCCTCCTACACACACACACACACACACACACACATGCAGTCTGCATCTCAGCCCCACGTTTGACTGTGAGCACATTGACTCCATAATGACGTGTGGGTGCTGTGTGTGACTCTTTAGTGTCCAGGAGTGTCACCCACAGAGAAGACTCCTGATCTGAAAAGGGCTTTAAGGACACTGCTTAGTAAGCTAAAGGTAACATACATGATCCTGCTCCCCCAGATCTGAACCCTGTAGCTCTGTCCTAGACCTCAGATGAAGGAAATGGGTTAGTTGAGTTGTCTCCTTGTTAAAAGCGTGTTTGATCTGTGTAGGTGGTGGAATTGTACAGCGTTTGCTAGCTTTAGTAATAGCATTAATGTATCACGTAGCACCTTTTATCCATCCACTTTATATTATGTAGAGGAGGATTGATGTTGTGGTGGTTCAAGCTAGACCATTTAATGGGCTGCTGTTTGGGTATTTAGAGATGATCACGTCAACCAATAAATGTGCCAACAGCTAAGGAAATGGATAAATATTTTCAGATACGATTTTAGTTAATTTTAAGTATGCAGTATGCATACTTTATGCAGTAAAGTGTCTTATTTTTTGCAATTTTGATAGGTAATTTGTATGTCTGTGAGTTTAACACGTTAACTTATGAAAGTTATGAAAAATAATGCGATTCAAATATTTTAACGCAGTTAACACACTTACCCCGCCCACAGACCTGTACGTCATCTTACATTTCATACAGTTGACTGTTGACAATATGATTCAGGACAACAACTCCTTAAATGCAGTTATGCCCTAAAATGCAAAAAATGCCCCTGTATGAGTTTTTGTCTAATTTTTATATCATATGATAAGCATATCACACCAGCAACGAGTGCTGTTTTTGTCACGAAGAACACGTGCAAGTGTGATTTTATACAACACTTTAGTAAATAAGAAGTTAATATTGTGCTATATTTTAGACACAATATTGTGTTTTTGTTCAATTTTGCCAATGAAAATATTACCTATAAAGCCACAGCAGAAGTGCTTTGCATCTCCGAGCAACACAGCGATGTTTAGTTTCTGAATGAATCCGCGTTTTGAACGAATCGTGTGAACCAATGATTCAAAAGCCCATTCACTAAACAGAGCCGTTTTTCTGAATTCCTGAATGAATCAGCCGTTGGAACGAATCGACTCATAAAGACATTTACCACCACCTGCTGGTAGTTTTAGTTTCTTCTTTAGGGTATAATTTCATTTATTAAAAAAAAAATAAAAATAAATGGTCATTTACTCACCCTCATGTTGTTTCAAACCTGAATGACTTACTTTCTTTTGCACAACATAAAAGAAGGTATTTTGAATACTGTTGGTAACTAAGCTGTTTTGGTCACTAGTGACTTTCATTGCATGAACAAAAAATACTGAGATGTTTCTCAAATGATCTTCTTTTATGTTCCATACTTTATGTTAGGCCACTGTAGCCTAAACATTTAAAACAATAATAGCTTTAAATTATCTTTTGGGGGTATTTTCACAGCCATATTAATTTGCACAGCACCCTGTAATTAATTAGATTCAAAATTTTAATCGACTGACAGCCCTAGTAATTTGTTCTCTAGTTCTAACTTTTGAATATTTATACCACAGTTACAATATTTATCTTTGAATATTACAGATGGACCAAAATTGTCACAGCTACAGCTAACCAAGAAATTAGTGGTTGAGTATTTGATTTTTTTTTTTTCTTTGCGTATTAATATTTTTAGTGGTTTTGCTTTTTTTAGTGGAAGAATTTAGAGACACAGGTTCATAAGAGGTTATAGCAGACCAGTGAGATTTAACATGGTACCACCACCTCAGTGAAGTTTCTTAAAATTCCTCATCTTTAAAGCACTGTCACTGCAGCCTTCAAAGCAATACTTGTAATGAATTCAGCACCTTCAATAATACATTTCAAGGCAGTTACTGTTGGACATCAAATCTTTTGAAGTGAGCAATATTATGCAGAAACCACTTTTTCTTAAGTTTTTTTTTTTATTATTTCTTAAGGTTTTTGAAAGAAGTCTCTTATGCTGTATGTATTTAATCAAAAATACAGTAAAAACAGTAATTTTCTGAAATTAATACAATTTAAAATAACTTTTCCATTTTAATATATTGTAAATTGTCATTTATTTCTGTTGCAAAAGCTGAATTTTCAGCATCATTACTCCAGTCTTCAGTGTCTCATGATCATTCTAATCATTATGATGTGTTGATTTGCTGCTCAAGAAGCATTTCTTATTACTAATGTTGAAACCTGTTGTGCTGCTTTAATATTTTTGTGGAAACCGTGACGCATTTCAGGACTTTAGGATTTTCAAGATTCTGAAAAATATGAATATAAAGAAAACAACAGCATTGTTTTTTTGTAACATTGTAAAATTTTACTCTCACTTTCAATCAATTTAATGCACCCTATTTACTAAATAAAACTTGATTTCTTTCTTTAAAAAAATCTTGCTAACTTCAAACTTTTGAACTGTATTTATTCTAATTACTCATATGTGTGTCTGGTCACATGACCCCATACAAGCTTCTTTAACTCTATCTCGTCATTCAGACAATTCACTCACTTTGAAAATGTCGTTTTGAACATCTCTATTTAACATGCTTATAAGCACATCATTGATTCGTTTTGGCCTGAGAAGACTGATGTTTGACCAAAATAGCCAAGAAAACCTAAAATCTACAGAATTAAAACAAA